CGGACTTATTCTAATATTCACAAATGCAATGTTTACAAAATAAACTTCTCTGCAATATCGCCTCAATCTTGTATTTTCATAAAAAATAAATTACGTTTGTAACATTTAAAATGCTAGCTCACAGAAACCTACATTTAACGTTTTTTATAAAGTTAGATAAATATTACAGTTGCAATATTTTTATTGGTACTTTACAGAAATTTACATAATGAAATATTGTATATATGATAGATATTTAATATATCGTGAGGATTTGCATTAATGCAAGATCCTTTATTTTTAAATTTCCTTCTCTGCCAGTCCAACAATAAGCTGTGGTCCAAGTACAGACCATGGCACATTAGTTAAATAATAAACTTCCAATTGATCTTATCACACATGCCTTTTCATCGATTCCTCCAACATATTGTAAAAAAGCCACCTAAAATTAAAAATTAAACAGTACTGAGAATTTACAAAAAATTAAAATGTTAAAATCTTACAACATTGGCCTTATTCTCTTCCTCTCCCAACATTTCCAGATCTTGATGAACCTTTTTGTTCCTGTTCAACTCTCTTTTATTATTATCAATCCTAATCCAAGAAAAAGAAGCGTCGTCTGCGTCCTCCGTCCTAGCGTCCTGTTTTTCTTTTTGCCTTTTGGTGGCGACGTCGACGGTGGCGTGGCGTCAACAACAAATGGGTGGTGCGTCTGCGCCGTTCCGAATTCCCAAACAATTGTCCCGTCTTTGTCACTCAAATATATTTTTACATGACAGAGACAAAGACAGCATATTGCAAATAAAAATCAATCTGCAAGTTTTATGCAACATTGAGAAAATTTAGTTTCCTATTCCAGAGTTTATGTTGAAATATTTAGGTAACGTTTTTTATTCTTGAAACTGTTAACGTACGCATGTAAAGGTATCTGCAACATTACAGCGACAATTTTAAGAAAAGTTCAGCCTATAATATTCATGCAACTATTTATTTTATTATATTTTTTTAATGTTACAAATGTAAATATTTCCGCAACAATAAAGTGACAGAGTTGAGAAAAGTTACGTTTTATAACATTGTTAAAATATTTGCTTTACTTACATTTTATAATGTTTCAAATATAATACATTTATTGTATCTACTGCAACATTTACTTAATAACTAAAACGAATGTATCTCTATTGAAGTTATATTAAATTTATATCCCTTTACATTGGGAAAGTAATATTTCAGAAAGCTTAACGTCACATTACCCAATAAATTTTCTAAAGCAAGGTCATTACAATATTGCCGACAAATTTTGCATCATTCTATGTTTAGTGGGCTGGTCCAATAGAAACATTTTCAAGATGTTACATTTCAAACGTCTGCAAAATTTAGAAAGACGTCTGTGGAGTCTTGTTTCAGAGCAAATCCAGACATTGGCCAGATAGAGACGTCTTTAAAATGATACATTGTAGACGTCTTCAAGAAGTTTAAATAGACGTCTGTAAGTACTCTTATGATCACTCTCCAACTTTGGCGGAATAAGAATATCTTCAAGATGTTACATCTCAGACGTTTACAAGAAGTTTAAAAACACGTCTGTAGGTAGCCTTACTTAAGACCAATTTTAAACATTAGCCAAATGAAAATATCTTCAACAAGTTATATTTCAAACGTTCTCAAAGTTTAGGAAGACGTCTGTAGGTATAGTCTTACTTAAGATGAAATCCAGATAGAGACGTCTTTAAAATGATACATTTAAGACGTCTTCAAGAAGTTTAGAAAGACGTTTATAAATACTCTCAAGATCACTTTCAACTTTCAACTTTAGCGGAATAGGAACATCTTCAGGATGTTACATCTCAGACGTGTACAAGAACTTTAAAAACACGTCTGTAGGTAGTCTTACTTAAGATCAAATCCAGTCTTTGGCCAGATAGAGACATCTTTAAAATGATACATTTAAGACGTCTTCAAGAAGTTTAGAAAGACGTCTGTAAATAATCTCAAGATCACTCTCCAACTTTGGCGAAATAGGAACATCTTCAGGATGTTACATCTCAGACGTGTACAAGAAGTTCAAAAACACTTTACTTAAGATCAAATCCAGACATTGGCCAGATAGAGACATCCTTAAAATGATACATTTCAGACGTCTTCAAGAAGTTTAGAATGACGTCTGCAAGTACTTTTAAGATCACTCTCCAACTTTGGCCGAATAGGATCACCTTCAGATTGTTACGTCTCAGAAATTTACAAGAAGTTTAAAAACACGTCTGTATGTACTTTTACTTAAGATCAAATGTAAACATTCGCCAGATAGAAACATCTTTAAAATGATACATTTCAGAGGTCTTAGAAACATGTCTCTACAAGTAGGCACACCAATTTCAAACATTGGCCGAATAAAAGCAGCTTCAAAACGTCTAATCTAAGACGTTTCCAAGACATTATCTTTCTTGTCTTGTCTGACGATAACATAGAAGATACGACAGTTATGTCTGACCATACAGGACATCAGACAGCTAAAAGCGACAGTCTTGTCTGGCAATAATAAGATGTCCGAGGGACAACAATTTCGTTAAAAAGATAAGATGTTCATCTGTCATTAATAAGACGTTACAGTCAATTAAATTCCAAAACTGTTTCTCGAAGACGTTTTTTGCCTGCGACAAATTAGACATTCCTGAAAAGCCAATAATCACATTCCTTGGTATCTGGTGCCCAATAGAAAACTCTTAATTATTTTTCGAGAAAGAATGAGTTTTCTATTCAAATTTATTCACTGCGTAAATCTTTTCAATTAAAAGTTCCATTGGCGGTCTAATCCTCTGAGAACTTAAGAATAAAAATGTTATCTTTCTTTTAGCTAACTTCTGATTTTGACCTGGAAAACTATCGAATTTCTGACGATTTGTAACTTTATAAACTGTTCAAATTTCCTTTAGTAATTTTAAAAATCTAAGATGATTTTGAATCAAAAATTTGTGAAAAATATTATTATCATTTTTGAAAGTTAAATTAAAAAAGAATAAATTTGACGCTCGCAATTTGCTTAAGAGCTTATCTATCTAGAGGCGTTTAAAAACATGTCAAAAACAAAACTTGACTCTATATTTGAGGGCTTTGAGAATATTTTAGCTTTGAAGTTTACTGTTTCAGTATAATATAAATGTAAAAGCCTGGGCGATATATTCCGAAATATAAATAAAGGCGTAGTTTACATTACAAAAATATCCTATTTTGTTTCAGTTTTGAGACAATTTCAGAGGACTGAAAGAAAAATATCAAGAAGGTCCTGTTTTGAATAAATTCGTTTTCAATTAGTTTTGCACATATGTTTATAAAACGTATTATTTTGTTCTTCGGGCGCTCTGAGGTTGGAAAAACTTTAAAGAAACGTCATTCGACATATTTTTCAATAAATTAGAAGTATTCTGTTTGTATTTCTCTGATGCGTTTTCTGTATTTTTTGAGGGGTACTGATACAGAAAGTTTTTATAATAGTTTTCAATTTAAAGTACGTTTATAATAAGATGTAGTTACACCAATGAACTGTATCAAAAAATAAATTCTGAAAATCTATTGGTACTCTCTTGAACGCCACATTCATGGTACTACACAAGTAATTTATTAACCGTCGCCATACCATCAGGAATAGTAAGTACCGATACTTGTAGAGTGAAATTAGAAAAATTTCATTCAACTTTTCGAAAATGTTATTATGTGTTATTTGCTTTTTGAAATATAAAATAATGTTATAGGAAAACAAGCTTGTTTTGAGTTGATTAAAATGTTCAAAATTAAAGTTTTTGATTCCGGATATTAACTAAAATTACAAAACCTAATATTTACAAGTTCCTAAGACAAAAAATTATTTGTTGCCAAACAAATCTTTTAGAAGAAGCATAGTTATTGGGACACATTTAATTGAAAAACATTACCCATAATAATGTCGATATAAAGAGAAAGCGTACCGAAATTTACAATTAAGGCGTGACAATAATTATTATATTTAAAGATACTGCCAGTCTTCTTCTGATGAAATAATAGTGTGATGATAGCGAGCAAAGATTCCCAAAACTGTTAAAAAATAAACAATAACCTTGCCAAGAATGCGTCTTTTATTATGGGTTTGTTGTTACCGTTGCCAACGAAAATCGTGCTATACGAAACCTTGAACTGGTATGCTATTATATCAGTTTTGAACCCCATTGACCATTTAAATTTATATCCTTCTCATTTGCATGTACCATACCAGCTCCAGCATCAATCATCTTTTCACCGTAATTCCAGAGCATTATAAAACGAAATACATATACGAGATATTCCCTGGAAAAAGTTTGCCTATGGAATATAAAGTATTATCGTGGTGGATCAAATAATGATAATATTCTGTCGTGGAAAAGAATTTGAATGTATTGTATTTAGAAAAGGAAATATATCTATGGAAAACAGCATTTTATTTCAGAATATTACTTGAATGTATCAGAAAATAAATTTGATATTAACAAAGCTATCAAGAATTTCTTTTTTCTTTGATATTTGGATCACGAGCCTGTGGAATCTTGAAAAAAAAGCAAGCTCATGAGAATTCGAATAGAGAACATTTTAAAAACTTAGAAGTTTTAAAAAAAATAGCTCTAGATTGTTTTAAAAGTAAATTTTAACATTTTTTGCTATACCAGTAGCACCCCTACCTAGCGCTCCTAGAGCAGATAGACCAGCAAATAATGGAATAAGGGGTGTTTTAGAAATAGGATTTTTTTTTGTTGGTCTAAGTTGCTCAGAAAAGGTAAAAATACAAAACCAAAAATATTAAAAAAATTTACACCAATAAGGAAATATTCTGATCTAAGACAGTAGGCAAGAAAATGGAAAATATATCAAGTGCTCATATAACCAGATCACAGGAGGAAGAAGGAGAATAGGTACATTTTCATTTGATTACTGAGATAAATATCGTACACAAATTCACTTTTTCTTCAAATTATATTGAAAATTTGTCCAGAAACCCTATAAAAACTGACAATTACCTTTCATTTTGTGACGTCCCCGCTTCATTTTTCTTCAAATTCGCACTGGACAAACAATAAGTTCGTTTTTTCTTCTTCTTCAAACAAAGCACATTCGTCGTGAACATCGTTCAAGAAGGCATTTTCACGTGAACACAACTGCTACTTAATGAGGATGTTTCGAATTTCCTTTTGAAGATTGAAAATGTCGGTCTGTTATGGCCAAGCCAAGGCGTTCCGCTCCGTGACTTTTCTTTAATTGTTGTCTGCTGCCTGATTTAGACGATTCAGTGTCAGGTGATTTAATTGAGTGCATCTAGAAAAAAAAAACCAAGCATCTATTAATTTAATGTTTCCTCGAGTGTAAAATAATTAATACTCCTAGCCTGATGCCTTATAGTATAAATTTAAAACAAAACACTTCCGTTTTCCGTTCCATCGACCATTCAACTTTATATTTTGTCACGAAACAATCAGCTCGTTAAAATTTCATAAAGCGTTTTCTATTTCTATACAGTTTAGCGGCAATCCAAAATTAGATAATGGAGACGGCTATTGTAATTAACAATCTTACAGAGAATTGACTATCAGATCACGTTTTGATGAGTTACATAGAGAGTAGCTAAATAAAATTGAAAAATAATTATTAACTACTCAATTAGAATAAGAGTTAATTTTATGAAATAGATCCTCCCTAATGAGTGAATATCAATAGAACAGTAATTTTTGTTTATTTTTTTTTTACTGGGTATAATATCTCTGATATATTTTTTTTCTATTGCAGATGCGGTCATGCTATACTATAATTAATTTCCAAGGTAAGTGAACACTTGCATATAAGAATTAAACCGATCTTGCGGTAGGTATCCAACTATTCGGAACGACCTTACCTTATAAATATGTATTATTATTTTATCTACCTTTTGATAGGCCATATCCTTTTGAAAAAGTATCTAGGTATTGGGTTTTAAATGATTTTTATATGTCGTAGACGTACATATACAGGGTATACCATTTAAAACGAAACAGGCTAAATATCTGATGCCACTTTTATATATAGTGCTGGACAAGTGAAGTGGATATTCTATTTTTTGAACTAAATTTTGGGATCTTATATCTTGACAAAAAAAAATGAGAATGAGAGGATTTATTAATAAAAATGAGCAATTGTAACAAATATTGTTATACAGGGTAAAAATGCAAACCAATACCTGAAGTTGAAATTTTAATGGTTACCGAACATTTCGAAAAACGATTTGGGGTACAATTGTATTGTGATGGGGTTGTCTACTGATTATTTGCAAAAAACAATTTCAACAGTTTTCAACAATCTGCAACTGTTTAAAAAATATGGCGATTTCTGTGAAAGGAATACTTTTTTCAATGTGATTTCTCATTGAGACGTTCAACGAGACTATTTTTCCATCAAGATCTTATGCATATAAAATGTCAAGCATACCCAAGTTCAATAAATATTCGAAAGGTATTAGAAACTTCGATTACTCAAGAATTTTGGTATTTTTTTACAAATTTTCTTTTCTTTCCAGGAAATGTGGTAGATGATAATAAATAATTTAAATTCTTCACAACCTAATGCAATGTGAGAGAGTGCAAGCCATTATTCTGTAATGGTTTTTTGGATTTTCGATACCATTTTGACTTCATACCTACAAGGGGGATGGTCAATAGCTTAGGGTGAATGTAAAACACTATGCTATATTTTTTAAAAATAGTTAAGTACTTGAAGGTAGTTCCAAGAGGCAATTAAATTTTGTTATTTTCTGTCATGTGACACAAATCACCCAATCTTTTCAACGTTATACTGAAAACAGCCCTAGGGTTGTTTTCACTCTATAAAATTGCCTCGAACATTGCTATGAAAAGACGCCAGGAATGAAAACCCTTATAAGTTGCCTTCACCAAACCTTGTGCGTTCGGTATTTTGCTCAAAGAGCATAGCCGTGATCACGCGAGCAGCGAGCGCATAGAGCGGCTAAACGCTGTATTAAAAGGAACCTTGGCATCAAAGTCCTTGAATCAAAGCATTGGAAACTTTGATAAACAAACCAAGAAAAAAAGTCCCAATATCTTGAAAACTAGCGATGGTAGCACTTTTGCGCAATGATAGCTTTTGATCACCCAATTTCCATAAGATCAGTCCTTTGCCATATCTTCTGGTAATATACTCCATTTAAAAGGCGCATACAATACAATTTTTGCATTCAAAATAAACAGAGACAATTTCAACAATATTAAATGAAGAACTGAGTAAGTCTATGCTGAGTAAAAAACCGATGATCTGTCAAATACTGCATTTTTTGTTTCCATAAATACCTATGTCAAGCAATGGTTTATTTTTCAGAGGCGACTCAATTAATCAGTGAGGATTCACAGATCCAAAATTTAAAAAAAATTCTTTTAAAGAAATCGGTATATTTTTCGAACCGTTGCAGATTATTGAAAACTGTTGAAATTGTTTTTTGCAAATGATCAGTAGAAAACCCCATCACAATAAAATTGTACCCCAAATCGTTTTTCGAAATGTTCGGTAACAATTAAAATTTCAACTTTAGGTATTGGTTTGCATTTTCACCCTGTATAACAATATTTGTTACAATTGTTCATTTTTATTAATAAATCCTCTCATTCTTACTTAAATTTGCCATCAATCTCTGAAAATCGCAAATCGATACAATTTTTTTTTGTCGAGATATTTGTACCAAAATTTAGTTCAAAAATTAAAATATCCACTTCAGTTGTCCAGCACTGTATTTTTTTTTTAAATCGCTCGTACACGTAATTTGATTGTGTGTGTGTTTGGAACATTTTCAGCACTTACTTAATCGTCTAGGAGGGTGGGACCAACCCTTACCATTCCAAATGAAACAGGGGGTCGAGTGATACCTGTTTTAAAAGAGCGTTCAATTTTCTTTTAAATAACATTAAATGAAAGAGAATTGAACACTCTTTTAAAAGAAGTATCACTTGTTCCATTTGAAATAGTAAGGGTTGGTCCCACCCCAAGTTTTAAAAATGGTTGCAGAAAACTTCCCCCTTTGAAAATCAAAATCACGTGTACGAGCGATTTTTTAAAAAATACGTGTGGCATCAGATATTCAGTATGTTTCGTTTTAAATGGTACACCCTGTAGGATTGAATTCATACTAATATAAAAAGGTTGAGGGAATAGTCAGAAACAGGAAAATATCAGTGGCGTACACTCGATCGATCTACGAATGGAGAATTATACGAAAATATACAAAATTGTATGATTATTCAAAAACTGTACATAGGAAACTGTATGATTATTCAAAAACTCTACCGGGTGATTGTCTATATTTTGCACCCACACTTATTTTACCTGTTTGAAGAGATAACCAGAAATGTCAAATGTGAAAGTTGTAGGTAATGTCTGAAAGTTTTCAATGATGTTAGTTACAACTATAGAAAGTGTGTCACAGGAGTGTGGCAAAGCAAAGTTATCATTTTTCAAATGGAAAACCCCGTATATTATTGTCCCATTAAATTAGCCTTTCAAATCTGATTCCAAATATACTAGGTTTTTTAGGTTTATTCTTAATAGTCCTGGAGAAAAAAGTACAAAAAGAGGTAGAATAATTGCATTTTTATTGAAAAAGGTGAAGTATAGAGATCACCAGTAAAATATAAAGGTAATCAATAATCATTCTATCCATTCTATCTATTCATATGTAAAAAATTCATATTATTATTTCTTCAAAATGGTATATTCAGAAGCTGGACTATGAGGAATAAACCTAAAAAACCTAGTATATTTGGAACCACGTTTGAAAGACTAATCTAATGGGACAATAATATACGGGGTTTTCTATTTAAAAAAGTATAACTTTGCTTCGCCACATTTTTGTGACACACCCTGTATACTTGTAACTAACATCATTGAAAACTTTCTGATATTAGAGAGTTATTGGCGATTTCAAAATAAAGCTAGCAGTAATAAGTCAACTACCTTATTTAAATAGCGCTTTACCTAAATGCGGCTGAAAAAAAAACAGTTATTGTTCACGTCAAGATACGGCTATTCTTTAATTCTATTTCTAACCTTACTTTACTTACTGACAGCTTTGCTTTGTTGACAAATTTCAAAAATCCGTCAAAATAAGGGCAAATTATATCGGGTCTTCAAAAAAAAGCCAATCAAAGATTGCTATGGTTTTTTGAACGTACGTCTTAGCAATATTTTTTCTTTAATTTTGTCAATGAACTTTATTGTCAAAATGTCATGTCAAACATTGTGACCAATAAAGAAACAATAATTCGACGTACGTTTTCGTATTCAAAGCAATCTTTGATTGGTTTTTTTTTTGAAGACCCGATATTATTAGTGCATTACTTTATTCGTGCAGTAATAAAGTCTAGCACAAACGTTAATAAAACTAGCCTTATTCAACGGCGCAACTGCGCAAGCGCAGATGACGATATAACGTTTGCATTATTACTACTGGACCTTATTTCACTTCCAATAACTCTATTACCTACAACTTTCACATTCGACATTTCTGGGTATCTTTTCAAACAGGTGACATAGGTGTGGTTGCAAAATATATAGACAATCACCCAGTATGAAATGATTATTCAAAAACTGTACATACTATAACATAGGTTTCAAAGTAGGTACCATTAACCCAAATTCTGGCATATAGACATTAAAAAAAATATTGTATCTACTGTAAAATTATATTTCAAATTATCATCGATATTGGCAAAGTGAAATATTCTAACTTATAACAGCAGTTTTTGGAATGTTTGATTTCAAAATTTCACCTTTATACCTCCAAAACTCAATTCTTTTGAACGTCATTTAGAATTAGGGAATCCAAACCACGTGACTTTTGCCAACCAGCCGGCATTTTGAAATTTTTATGAGGTTAGAATACGGGTCAACGACGTCAGAAAAGTGTCAGATTTGAGTACTCACCCCGTGTATTGATAAAGCCTAGTACTCATAACCGCGAAATTCGCTCTTTTTTGACATTGCTTCGACAATTTGACGTTTGATTCATGCATAAATCGCTGTTATGAGTACTAGGCTTAATCCTGCAAAAAAAAACATATGTTTTTTGTTTATTGTTTGCCAACCAGACGCCATTTGGACAGGTCGTTGGATTGCCTAATTGAATTTTTAACTGCACAATAATAAAATTGTCTTCAATATTACTTTGGTAGTTAGTATTGACTTTGAGCTCTAAAATTTACCTCAGACTTAGAATTTCCAACATGAAAAAATTTCAAAACGAGTAAAAAAGTATTTCAATATTATCTTTGAGCAATAAGACTTATAGCAAAGTAGATTTGTTTTGTTTTGCAAATTAGTCCCAGCTTGATCTACACCTATCTATAGATATATTCACACAATAATTACATATGTAAATATTCTAAATAATTAATTATTATTCCGTTCTAAAGATCCAATCGATGTGCATATAGGTATATAAAATTAAATGCACGAGTTAAAATTACGCGATAATTACATGGTTTTTAAACGAGAGAAAAAAAACTTATAAATTATTGCTCAGCAACATTCAAGCCAAGCAGGAGCAGGCGATATATCATGTTACCTAACAAACAACATTTATTTATACCGGGTGTTCACCTTAGTACCGACGTGACATTGCAATGAACAGATAAATCTCGTTTGTTTTTTTCGACTTTCACAATTGAATTTTAATTGTTTTCATCAAAAATTGCAATGCCAAATCTCTAACGGTGGTTAACTTAAGCTGCTATAATAATTAAGCTCAATTAAAAAATAACTGTAACATCGTAGAAATGGTTGCGTGCAACTTAAAAAAAAAATGTGCAATATCCTAGATTTTATGGGAATTATATTATTCACTTATCTTCATAATAATATCGAATGATAATTCTTCAAATCTTGCAATTCAAAATGTTAAAC